TTTCTTCACTCATTCTGCAAACCAGCCGGCCGAAAGAGGCCAGCAACGCTGCTCTCTCGTCACTGTCTATCTGAACAGACAGCGTGGAGCTGCCTTCGAGCAAAGTGAGGGCGTCTAATGAGGCAATAAATAAGTCGACCGCCCTAACCGGCCTCTCCACGCTTTTCGTTCGCGACGACGTGTCCATCCTCGAGTTCTTTTCTTGCCTCCGCATACGCGAGGTGGGGCCGATCTTCTCGATTCCTAGCCGAGATCTTCTTCTCTTCTCCCCTCGAGCGTTCCGCTGGCTCGATTGTCGTCGATTAAACCGAGTCTTCCCTCGTTTTTTCGTCTAGTAGCGGATCCGAAGATGCCTTTTTGCGAGAACTACCTCGTAAGAAAAGAAGTACAAGCGAGTGACAGGAGGCTGTTAAAGCTCGTTGCGCATATAAATACGGCACGTTGAATTTTGCTAATTTAAAAAATGATAGCTGAATCAGTGATATACTCAACTGTAAATATGATTACTATTTAGCATCGAGGATGTCGCCTTACAAAAACATATGTATCAATTCTTAGAAGGTTTATAGACGAAGAAAAGTTTATATCCAGCTGCACGATAAATATGTATTTTTTTTTTACTAAAATTAATTTATTTGTCGCCAAGTTCGAGAATATAATTTTTTCAAGGATTTAATACATTTACGTAATTATTTATAATTTTATTATATTTTTTAAATTTTAATTTCATCAATTTATTTTTGAATGAAACGAATAATACCGGCGAATATTAGTGGAAAGTTCGCAATCGAAATCGCAATCGACAGACGGAAGACGAATAGTAACGTAGTTCTTGACCACTCCAATTCCCATTAACTCGCCTTCGGCGATATTAATAGGCGCGGGTGCAAAACGTCCGCGTAAGCGGCGCTCGTCAAACGACGACGTGTTTGCAATAACGTCGTAACTTTATTATCCGCCTCGGGGGAATTGGTCTTTTAGTATCGGCGCGCAGCGGTTCTGCCGTTTATTTGACTAACGGGGTGAGATGCGCGTGGCCACTAGGAAACGAGTCTTTGAAGTCGAAAGGTCGGATGAAACTCCCGGTTAGAAATTGCCTTTGCCTCGCCTAGCCGCGGCATATGTAACGCTTTCCCGACGGAAGCTACCATTGCGAATTATAGATACAATGAGAATAGAACGAGGCGCTGTCCCAATGAAATTGGCGAAGTGCTCCGAATGTTATTTTAACTCGTATTTACCGCGTTTCGATTCAATTCATCGGATACTATTATTAAATTGTTCGGACCATATGTACCGACAAAAATCTCATAATTGATCTGACGATGTCATAGAGCGACCGTAAAATTTCTGGTTACGTAGTTTACAACTGCACAGCAGAATATTTGGAAATATGAATATTGTTTTATTAAATTACGTGTAAATTTATAAGATATATTTGTGATATTAAAAAGTTGTCTATAGATAAATTATATAATTGGAAATAAAATATATAATATATTATTTTCTTCGGGATTTGTATAAGACAGGTGATTTGAAAATTTATATGAATGAATCGTGTATAAGACTGTTAAATGTTTACTTATCTTTATCTGGCAGGCTTATATACATTTCCATTTTCCCACAAAATTCACACGTCGCAAGACTTTTGCATCACTACAATAACTCAAATCATACTTAATACAATGTTTGACGTCTCATATAGTTTCGCGTACTGCAACTTCTCGGAATAGTTATATCTATGTCGCTCGTTCATTACATCTTAGAAGTTTCGTTGCATTCTCGCGTAGATTGATGTCGAGTCGAGAAATAGTACATGCATTAATTCCAGGAAGATGTCGCAGTTTCTGACAGCTGGTCGTGATCTAGGAAACTAGAAAATATGTAGTAAGGTCACGTCATTCAAGCTGTTTTCCCATCTGATCGACAGTTAAGATCAGAAAAAATTGAGATCGCAAAACAAATAATTAGAGAGAAAAAGTATTCGAGAGAAAAAAAATGTAAGATATTTTAACAAATGATACATATACAGTACAATGCTCTCTCTCTCTTCCGATTTTCCTGTAAATTTTTATGCGTAGATGCTACATTCTGAGAAGGAAAATCGTTGTTTAAATTTCTTTTTTACATTAAAAGTTTTTTGATGGCAAATTAAAAGATAATAATTTATGGCTGCATATTTATTATATTCTCTGCTTTAATTAATCAAAAACATAAATCATTTTTAAATAATGTAAGAATTAGACGACCGTAAACGGTCATGAAAGAGATTCGAAATATAAACAGCTAACAGAGAGGAGCCGTCACGGTCGTGCAGACTAAGTGTCTTGGCAGTAGGCGAGGAATCCCGAGTTCTCAAATCCAGTCAGTCTCCGTTTATTTTTCCGAATCTAATAAATCTAATATATCTTTCAATAATTTAAATTATAACACAGAATAGTTTATGATTTAAAACGTATATCTTTTTCATTTTTTTTTTTACGTAAATTGAGGTTTAAAACACTTTGAAATTAGAAAAAAAAGAAAAACTAGATTTAAGCGACGATTTTTCTTCTCAAAAATATATTCCACTACACGAATTTACAAAAAAATTGGAGGAAACAGCGTTATACTGTATACTTAAATATATTTTTTAGTTAAGAGGGAGAGCTGTATTTGATGAAATCGAGAAATATCCCGTTGAGAACATCCTTCTTGATTTTTCAATGCAATATGTTTTATGCGTACATCACGAAGGCAAGATACCGTTTCTTTCGGAGAACTCTTGTAACAGATTGAAGAAGCTTCGGCGCTTGTCGTCCGTCAGACTCTATCGGAATCAAGGACCTTAACAGGAATCGACGAATCGAAGTTTCTGCGGCTTGTACTCTGTCAGTGGGCCTGATCGTCCCGCGAGACGTTACATGCACCATATTTTGCTCCAACGAGAGCGATGCTGCGTTTCTTTCCTTTTTCCTCTCTCCTTTCCGTGTCCTGTCCATATCTCTCTTTCTCCGTCTCTCCGTACTTACACTCACGAAATCGTTCTTCGATCTCTCGATCGAAGAATTTCTCGTGACTTTTCGACCGCGTATCATCTCGCATCTACCGTTCTTGTCGTCATCGGTTATTTCTCGGTTATAATCGCAACTCGAGATGGAATCCTCCTCGCCCAAATGACGATGTCACTCTCGTGCACGACTCTCCACGTCGTATTACCTTCTCGCTTCTTATTCCCGTCCGTGCAGAACGAAAAGCGAGTGAGAGGAGCAGGGAGGGCGGGAGGGCACATCGGGAACGGGCGGCAATGTACACGAGCACGAGCAACCGTCCTTAACGGAATTATTGCCATTAAGGTCGTTGCATTCCCGAGAGGCCGTCGTGTACGCGCCCCGGCATCCTACCGACGCAGAACTAATGATCTTAATTAACGTTTCGTAACGAAGGTCGCCCGGACTGTCCTCTTTCTTCTTCTTCTTCTCCATTTCTCCCTCCTCCCTCCCTAACCCTTCCTGCGCCCCCACCGTTTCTCTTTTTACCTTTCCGCCTTCGTGCCCGTCCTTCGTAGGCCCCCGCTTCTTCCCTCCTCGCCCTCCTCCTCTTCGTTCTTCTTCTCGTATCCTTCTGCCTCCGAGTCGTCCTCCTCAACTTCGTAGTTCCCACCGCTCGTAGTTCACTCAGAGTCCATTTCGCTTTAGTCTTCCTTTTTTTTTCTACCCCCGGTGCAATCATCAGGCTGTCCCCTCTCTGCTCTTTCTCTCTCTTTCCTCTTTACACCCTCTCGCACATACTCGCTCGTTGTTTCCGTCTCTAGTGTCTCTTTCCTTCCCTCCGTAACATTTGTTTCTTCTTTCTCTATATCTTCCTTTTTCATTCGTAGGATTAGTTACGTCGCCACAAGTTTAATGCGCCGGAGCTTTAATTATCGTAATGGCGTTAGCGTGTTCAGATTCGACTGTTGTACCTACTATTCGCAGTATATTCATCCTTCTTCCTCGCCTTCTTCACCTTCTTCAATGGTTCTTTCCTTCGTTGTTCTTTCCAGAATCCACAGCGCGGACATTACGAATCTTCTTCTCTCCGTGGCTTCCGTCATTCCGTGGCTTCACAATTCTGATTTATCTTCTATCATTTTCTCATCGTTCTCATATGATTATTTAATTATTAAAGTTTTATTATTATAACACGTTTATCAAGGGATTTTAACATTCAGCCACAATAAAACGTATACAAAAATTTAGCGTTTTGTCGGACGGTAATTTATTTCTCTATTATATAACATGTTACAGAGTGATCTAATTATTCATGTAGCAAAAACGAAAAATTAACAGCGTCAAAAAAATACGTTGAGAATGACAAATCTCTCGTGTTCAGGCGATGCTAATGGGGTAAATCCGAATTCTCTGTAAATAGCGAAGCTCCGACTGATTTATGAGGCACGACGGTGTGCTTAAGGAGAAATAAATTCTGATCCAAACACGAGCGATTAATCGCGAGGATGAGAGCTGCGCCGAGACACAACACTTGGGCTTGTAGAGCCACCGAGGCTCTACGGGTTCTAGAAGGAACGGACAGGCGAGCGCGTCAGGGGAAAGGAGAGCTTCCGCTTAATCTCACGTTCACGCGAGCCCGTTCCTTTTTCCACATTGCGCGCGGAAAGATATTGCGAAGCTAAATAACCGGCAACTTGGCCGCGGGATTTGTAGCTTCCGTAAATTATTCTGACCGTTTCTCCTCTCTAGCGCGTGTCATGTCTCGAACGTTGCTCCGAGTTCCCTGAGGTTCGCGCGATTATATCGTTGCCTTTGAGTATCGAGCGTAGATGGGTTAATTACAAAGGCATTTCAAACTTGTCGCATTTAAGTTATGTTTTTTTTTTTGCTGCTCAAAGCAAATGTCAGAAGATATATGTCAAAAGATATATGTATGCATTTATAACAGGAATTTTATTTCATAGAATTGATTTTGAAACAACAAAATTGTATTGAATATATGTAATATATTTTTATTTTTTTCTACAGGACCGTAGGAAGCCAGCTGGTGATGGATCCAATGCTCGTCTGTAAGAAAACGAGACGGCTGAAGGGGAAGCTTGCTGACATTTGTCGTAAGGAGCCATCTCTGCTGAAAGAAATCGCGAAAGGTGTTCAAGTAGGTACTAGGGAATGCCAGCATCAATTCCGAAATCGAAGGTGGAATTGTACGACCGTCAGGAGATCTCTTAAGAAGATCCTACTTCGCGGTAAGCCTCAAACTGCACAAATGAACGATAATTTCAGAAATAATTACAGATCGGACTCTTTTGTTATTTCTTA